TCCTCCTGGCAGGCTCGGCGTGCCCCCTCGGCCCCCCCAGGTGTCCACCAACCCCGGCCCAGCAGCGCAGGTCCCAGCGATCGGTGGACCAACTTGGCGGAGTAACTTTGTCCCCGGAGCGCCGCCGCGGGGGAAGGGGCACTGCGCATGCGGAGCTCCAAATTCAAACAGCTGTTTCCAGAGGCTGCGGGCGGGCGGCGGCGGAGTCGCTGGGGCTAGGGGGGAGCTTTCTGGAGGAGCCAGCTGCCCAAGAGCCATGGTGGACCGGGGTCCTCTGCTCACCTCGGCCATCATCTTCTACCTGGCCATCGGGGCGGCGATCTTCGAAGTGCTGGAGGAGCCGCACTGGAAGGAAGCCAAGAAAAACTACTACACACAGAAGGTGCATCTCCTGCAGGAGTTCCCGTGCCTGAGCCAGGAGGGTCTGGACAAGATCCTGCAGGTAAGCCGGTGCCGGTACCCCCATAGACACCTGAAGCTGTTTGGGGCTATAGGTGCAGCCTCTGATGACCCTCGGTCCCCGGGGAAGGTCCTAGAGAGGAAGTCCCCTCCTGGATCTGTCGCTCACGCTCGGGCACTCGTTTCTCCTGAGGAGAACTTGAGGCTGACTCCGGAGTGAACTGGGCCCCGCGGTGGCGCGCTGTGGGAGCCTCCCTCTTTGGAGGGAGGCTGTGGGGCGGATAAAGACGTTTATCTTCTTGGAGACGCTCCCGGAGACCGGGAGTCGAGCCGGGTGCCACCCTTCGCGTCTCCACCTCCCGGCTTCAGGGCCAGTGCCTCTCTGCCCGGCTTCTGAACCCCGCGGAGCTGTGCAAGGCTCTCCCCCAAACCAAAACCTAGGCAAAATTTCCCTGTCCCCGCGGGGCTCCCGGAGGGGTAGGGAGTTCTGTTGGGCCTGAGCGCACCGGATGAGGGCCGGTGGCTGGAACGCTGGGGATGAGGTCAGGCTTCCAGGAAGGCTTATCATTCGGAGACATCCGAGGGCTTGGAGTTAAACTTTGTGAAAGCAGCAGGTTGCACCGCGAGCAAAACCCCTGGCAGTTGTCGCTTTTCGGGGAGGAAGGACTGTATGGAGGGGAGCTGCGCCGCAGTTGGCATTGAGAGCCTCTTCTGGCACACGTGTCCAGCGAGTGCACTCACCTTACTTTGGGAAAACCAGGGTGGCCAAGCTAGCTAGGACCTTGGGCCACGTTGGGGGCCAGGTCCTGCTCTGTCCCAGCTTTTTGAGGGCTCCGCCTTAACCTTGCACCCTGTCTGGCCAGCACTGAAGGTCTCCTTTCTTTAGAAAGTGAGCCAGAACTGTGGACTGTCTAAAGAACCGCGTTTCTCCTGGGGTGAACGATGCCAGGGACGCAATCTGATGAGAAACTAGTCTACAGCCAGCTCCCCGGGACAATTAGTCTCGTTTTCCAGCCTCCCTTTCCCTGTATGTGGAATGGGAAAGAATACGTTTTTGTTCCTTTTTCCAGCGCTCTCTACCGTTCTAAGGTTGAACGCGTTTAGAAAGCATGAAGACGTCTTGTCTGTGCACCTTCTTTTTGTCCCTAGATCGGATGGACGTTCACACAGATGGGCATGAAGGTGCCCTTTGGCAGCAGGGCCTACACACAATGGTTCTCCGGTGACGTAGGACCGGGCTGGCAGGTGCAGTGTTGCATTTCAGTGGCGTCTCCTGCCCTGGAGCCGTTTCCACGGTGAGGGGAGGTTCGGTTCTGAGTGAGCTTCAGAAGACTTCTTGCTTGGTTTCCGGTTCTTCCTAGCAGGAATTCCGGGACCATGCCGGTTCTTTCTGATGGGTGTCTCTGGTGTGATGGATGGTGCGGGGAGGGGGGAGTCGCTTTATGATTTCCCTGGAGGAAACAATTCCTCCGGAGGAGAGTTTTTGTTTAGTTTGCTGTGGGATATTGTTTGGGAGGGCAGGGACG